TGAAAGGTCCAAATTCCGGACCCCCGCGGGTCGTAGTATCTGTGGATGATTCCAGGGGTTCACTTTGGTTCCGGAGAAGGTTCCGCAGAACGTCTGGGAGGCTTTGTTGCGGGGGTCCGCTTTTTGAGCTTTTCGGGAGCCACTGAAACCGAGATTGACAAACATCTTCGGAGCCACTGAAACCGAGATTGGCCTGTTAGGCCGAACAGTGCGATGTGTTATTAGGACACGAGGCTGTGAGTAATTGTGCCAGAATGTTTACTGTAACTTTTACTTTTTGGATCCCTGAACAATCCTGAACATATATCCCGCAAAATGTTGCACATGATCCAGACTAGCCGAATTGTTTGCATAACAAAGACCGGCTTGAGGACTGAAACTATCCAGGGGATATAGCCCTTTTTATCATTTTTTTTGAGGAAGGAAAGGCACCCAGAGGTGAGAGCAGCCAGAAGCTGAAGGGACTATCATGACACTTTAGTTCACTAGCTTGGTCAACGTGAGATTGACGTGCCGTCCTCCGTTGAACTTGTCGCAAAAAGACGTCAGTGCAGTCGAGCAGAGATTGTATACCCAACTTTGCTTGGGATGGGTGAAAATAGTCAATCCATTTTCATTGGTCATAGGGATTTATGATGAGTTATGTATCCAGCAAAAGGATTCCCACCATTTATTGGATGACCATGAACTACAATCTTTTGATCACATTTGACGTACACCTAAACAAATAGGTACATGTAAATATAAATATACAATTATAAACACATGTATATAATAAATAAGACTGGAAATCCAAAAAGCTTTCAAGGTTCCGGAGGGTCCGCGGGTGCGTACAGGAGCAGAGTCTTCTATGGTTAGTATGGATGCACTATATTACAAGATAATATATTAAAAATGTATTTTAGGCAGACGAGAAAAATAGTATCAAAACAATATATTACAAGTACAGGACAACAGTTTGCATCGTATCTTTCGTATTTTTTTCAGACACGGGGGTTACGTATCGTGCCGTCTCGTTGGCACTGCCCCGCGCCTTCAATAGAGAAATTCAAAAGAAGGAGAGGGCAAGAAGGCAAGAGAGCAAGAGGGCAAGAGGGCAAGAAAGCAAAAGGCGAGGAGAAGATGTGAAGATGTGAGGATGTAAAAATGAATGGATGTGAAGGTGAGAAGATGTCAAGATGAGCAGATGTGGTGATGAGAGGAGATGAAGATGTGAGGATGTGAAGATGAGAAGATGTGAGGATGAGAAGATGTGAAGATCAGCAGATGTGAAGAAAAGAAGGTGAGGATGAGAAGATGTGAAGAAAAGAAGGTGAGGATGAGAAGATGTGAAGAATAGCAGATGTGAAGATGAGAGGGTGTGAAGATGTGAAGATGTGAAGATTGGAGATTTGAGGATGAGAAGATGTGAAAATGTCTTTATGAGAAGGTGTGAAAATGAGAAGATGTGAGAATGGGAAGATGTGAAGATGCGCAGATGTGAAGACGAGAGGGTGAGGATGAGAAGATGTGAAGATGAGCAGATGTGAATATGAGAGGGTGTGAAGATTTGAAGGGTGAAGATGAGAAGATGTGAGATGTGAGGATGTGAGGATGAGAAGATGTGAAGATGAGAAGATATCTTAGAAGGTGTGAAGATGTGAAGATGAGAAGTGTGAAAATGAGAAGATGTGAAGGTGTATGTGAAGATGTGAGGATGTGAAGATGAGAAGATGTCAGGATGTGAATATGTAAGATGTTAGGTTGGGGAAGATGTGAAGATGAGGAGATGTCTGCTGTCGGTCCGTCTGCTAGCCAGCTAGCCAGCTAGCCAGCTGTCAGCTGTCTCTCTCTCTCTCTCTCTGGGTTCCTGCCTCCCTGTCTGTCCTGTCAATGTGCATTCTGGGGGGTCTGAAATTCCCGTCAAAATCCGTCCATGACAGGAATTAAATTTGAATTTAATTCCTTCTTGAAGGTCAGATGAAGAGCAGACACGTAGGAATTAAATTCGAATTTAATCCTTTTTTAAGGTCGATGAAGACCAGACACGTAGGAATTAAATTCGAATTTAATCCTTTTTTAAATTCGATTCCAAGCTTTTTTTGAATTCGATTTTCGGCCTCATCCGACAGATAGATAGATAGAAAGATAGATAGATAGATAGGTAGATAGATAGATAGATAGAAAGATAGATAGATAGAAAGATAGATAGATAGGTAGGTAGAGCGAGAAAGATATAGAGAGATAGATATAGAGTGGTAGATATAGAGTGATAGATATAGAAATAGATAGAGAGATTGATAAAGATATTGAGAAAGAGAAACAAAGAGAGAGATAGAAAGACAGATAGAAATACGGATAGGTATGGACATAGAAATAGAGATATAGATAGAGAGAGCTAGAAAGGGAAAGATAGATATAGAGAGGTAGATATAGAGACAGATAAAGAGATATAGATAGAGAGGGAGGGAGATAGATATAGAGAGAAAGATCTAGAGAGATAGATATAGAGATAACAATAGAGATAGAAATAAAGAAATAGATTTTGAGAGATACAGAGATGTAGGGATAGAGAAAGGTAAAGAGATATAGATAGAGAGATATAGAAATAGAGATTGACAAAGAGAGAGAGAGAAATATAGATAGATAGATCGTTAGATAGATAGATAGATAGATAGATAGGTAGATAAACAGAAAGAAAAGATAAGATAAAATTAGATTAGATTAGATAGATAGATAGATAAATAGATAGATAAATAGATGGATAGATAGATAGGTAGATAGATAGATAGATAGGTAGGTAGATAGATAGATAGATGGATAGATAGATAGGTAGATAGATAGATAGATAGATTTAGGGACATAGATATGGAGAGGAAAAATAGCGATAGATACAGAGATATAGATAGAGATAGATATAGAGAGAGAAAGATATAGAGAGATGGATATAGAGATCGATCTAGAGAAAGAAATGGGGAACTATTTACAGAAATATAGAGAGATAGATAGATAGATAGATAGGTAGATAGGTAGATAGGTAGATAGGTAGATAGGTAGATAGGTAGATAGGTAGATAAACAGAAAGAAAAGATAAGATAAGATAAGATTAGGTTAGATTAGATAGATAGATAAATAGATAGATAAACAGATAGATAGATAGATAGATAGATAGGTAGATAGATAGATAGATAGATAGATACAAAGATAGATAGATAGATAGATAGATAGATAGAAAGATAGATAGATAGGTAGGTAGATAGATAGAGAGAGAACGGTATAGAGAGAAATATATAGAGAGAAAAGTAAAGAGATTGAAAAAGAGATTGACACAGAGATAGAAAGAGATATAGATATATAAATAGAAATATAGGGAGATAGATATTGAGAGTCAGAAAGATCTAGAGAGATAGATATAAAGAGATTTAAATAGAGATGGAAATAAAGATAGATAAAGAGATATAAATGGAGATATAGATCGAGAGGGAATGATATAGAGAGATGAAACTAGAGAGAAAGGTTTAGAGAGATGGGCATAGAGAGATAGAAATATCGATTGATATAGCGAAATAGGTACTGGGACAGAAATAGAGATATAGATATAGAGAGATAGATATAGAGAGATAAATAGAGAGAAATATAGAAAGATAGATAGATAGAGAGATAGATGGAGAGAGGTAGGTGGAGAGAGACAGATTTGGAAAGATAGATATAGAGAGATAGAGAGAGAGAGAGAGAAATAGAGGTATAGATATAGAGAGGTAGATACAGAGAGATAGGTATAGAGATATAGATAGATAGAAAGATATAGATAGAGAGATAGATAGAAAGAAAGAAAGAAAGATATAGAGAGATAGATATAGAGAGATAGATTTAAAGAGATAGATCGAGAGAGATAGGTAGAGAGAGATAGATATAGAGAGATAGATATAGAGATCTAGATATAGAGATCTAGATACAGAGAGATAGATAGAGAGCGATAGATAAAGAGAGAAAGGCATAGAGGAAGAGAAACAGAAAGATAGATAGACAGCGATAGATAGAGAAAGATAGATACAGAGAGAAAGATCAAGAGATTGACAAAGAGATTGAGATAGAGATAGAAAGAGAGATATATAGAGAGATAGATACAGCGATAGAAAAAGCGATATAGATAGAGATAGATAAAGAGAAAGATAGATATAGAGATATAGATAGAAAGAGACAGATAGAGAGATATAGATAGAGAGATAGAAAAAGAGAGATAGATATAGATAGAAAGAAAGATGAAGAGATGTAGGTATAGATACAGATAAATAGATATAGAGATATTGATAGAGAGATAGATAGAAAGAGAGAGAGAGAGATAGATAGATAGAGATAGATATGCGGATTTAGATGAGTGATAGATAGAGAGAGGTAGATATAAAGAGATAGGTATAGAGATATAGATAGATAGAAAGATATAGATAGAGAGATATAGATAGATAGATATAGAGATATAGATAGATACTCCTGGATGCACCCGCGGGGTGCACAAGAATACCTGACAATTTTGATTCTTTTTGGAGGGTCACTTGGATGATAAAATGTGCCAACAAAATACTGTCAAGAACAAATTTGCATGTAAACGGCCCACTATCCCGTGAACAGCTAACACATTCAAAACCTTATATGTCTTGAACTATCTGTTCGAATAATGCTCGTCGATATCCATTCATGAATATTACGGTCATCAAAGAAAATATGTCATCCCATTGATATTCATTCATCAATAGTACTTCAGCTGCTAAAGAACAAGTAAATATCCCGTTCATATCCACTAAAGTTAGTAAAGTTTACCTTTATTCATTTTAAAAATATGTATATAAATATTCAAACCCTATATATATATATACATATACATATATATATATATACATATATATATAATTATATATAAACCCATATACAGATAGGTAAACCCTATGTATGCTACATATATATATATCCTATGTTTTCCCAAGGTTTTACTTTGAGAAATTCCTCACATTTTGCCAAGTCTCGCGCAGAAGTCTTGTGCTTTACAGAGTTGATGGATGCGATGCACTGGGTTATGCTCTGCGCCTTTCTCCGCCGTCACAGGGATGCCGTTAAACCAGGTGAGGCGAGGCTCCCACCTGGGCTGTGCTGGTCAGTGATTTCTTGCTGGAGATATGGTTTAATGTAGGTAAAACAATGTCATAAACCACTCGTTTGGGAATGGTTTATAAGTTTATACCACCTATATACTTATGGTGATTTGGGATGATTGATTCTTGTTCTACCCACATTCCTTTTTCCATTGTTGCAGGTGAACTATCCTTCTTTTTGGGTGCTTTCGCACTAGTTGTTGCGCACATCTTGGAGCCCAGGCTTTATTGAACCCCAACATGGTTTCCCACGTTTCAGTTCCATAGCTGGATCAACAATAATGATTGTGATTCGAAATGGAAGAAAACCATTCATATCTGTGAATCAAACCAAAAAAATCTGGGGTAATCCGCCGGCCTGCCGGCGTGTCTGATTGGAAGGTGTTGTTCTTGTTTCTGTTCTTGGCTTGTGCTTGTTCCTTTGTTCTCTTGCTGCGCGTTCTTGCTTCGTCTGAATCAAGGTCACCCCCCCTCCCCCGTACAAGTACTAAGTACTAAGTAGTAAGTACTAAGCTAAGCACTAAGTACTAAGTACTAAGTACTAAGCACTAAGTACTAGTACTAGGACTAGTACTACCATCAGTACTACTACTACTACTGCTGCTACTACTACTGCTACTACTGCTACTACTGCTACTACTGCTACTACTGCTACTACTACTACTACTCCTACTCCTACTGCTACTGCTACTACTACTACTACCACTACTACTACTACTACTCCTCCTCCTCCTCCTACTACTACTACTACTATTCCTCCTCCTCCTACTCTTGCTCCTACTCCTGCTCGTACTCCGACGCCTACTCGGACGCCTACTCCGACTCCTCTACTCCTCCCTTCGTGCCGGTAGCTAATGACATTGCCTACAGCATTACCGTCGTCTAGGTACTCGTCACAGGACGCACACAGTATTGATCGACCAGTACTCATTTGGTACGCATTCAATTGGTTGTTCAAGCTCGCACTTGCTACTCAAGCTGCTTCTGATCTACGGCTCTGTCTTCGTCTCTTCTTCTCTCAGGCTTCCACCTAGCGTGCACGTCAACCTCCCTTGGGGCAATCTCTCTCCCCTGTCTCCTTCCATGCAGCGGCCTGCTGTCAAGCCAGAGGCTCATACATAGTACCTGGCGCTACTTTGCTGGGCAGTACTAATTTGGTATACGGTCAATAGGTTGTTACAGCAAACCTTCCTACACAAGCCGCTTCCGTTTTACGGCTTTGTCTTCGTCTTCCTTTCTTATTCTTCTTATTCGTCTTATTCTTCTTCTCCGTCTTTTCTCTTCTGCTCTCTTGCGGGCTTCCACCTAGAATGCACATCGAACTCCCTTGGGGCCATCTCTCTATGGCCGGCGGGCTTGCCGAAGGCAATTAAATAATGGGCAACAATATATTAATAGCTACTACTGCATATGCATATTCAACGTTGTTCAGTAATATGGGTATTTCTGAAATTCTGACAGTACATCCTTCCAGCATTTACGTGAGTTTCTGCTGAAGTATCCTGAAGTGAGGTATACTCCCAAATCACTGGTCAATGAGGAGAATGATTTGGGGTCTCCGAATTTTGTTTTAAACTGCTTGCTAATATCCATATTTTGATTGTTAAAATCCCCGATGCCCGTCATTTATCAGGGATCCACATTTTATGCCGGAGTGGGGATTATCATTAGGGAGAGTTGCTTGAACGTATCCATCCACATTCAGAAATTATCCCATCTTAGGGCCATTACTGAAACCCAGTATATCCAATTCCTAAATCCACATGGTGGCTGCTTCAATCCGCCCTAATCTTGAAAACATATGATCGTTAGTGTCAAGCCCGGATGAATAAATTTTGGTTGATGATATAATCAGCTTTGGTTGATAAATTGTTTATTTTGCTTTTCTAAACTTGGTTGTTTTGGTTGATTCATAACATCTTCGCCTTTGGGGCCGAGGCACTTGGCACGCACGTCTGCAGCAACGCCATCCCAGTAGGTTGAGGCGTTACGTTCTGCGGCTTCCCAAACCTACAGTCATGGGCTGCCAGGGCCGGGTGGCAATTGGGATGATATAATGGATGATTTGGGATTGAATTTGACGATTATAGTCGATTTATAGGGATTATTGAAGGATTATTGGGTATGCTTCTGGATTATGCTGAAAGAACACATGATATCCCATTGGATTATTTGGGATTATAATGATCAAAATTATCTATATATATATATGAGTATATATATATACGTATATATGATATGACAGAATGGAACACAATCGGGATATAATTGGATATAAAAACCAAACATATAGTATGGGCAGGCTGGCTGGAAAATCCCCAAACTAGCCGTGAGGTTTATATCTGGGAACATCATTGAACTAAATGGGATTTCCAGTGTGTTAAAGTATAAGGGTCTGAATCTTCGAGCATCATCATCATCATCCTCATCATCATCATCATCATCATCATAATCATAACCATCATCATCATCATCACCATCATCATCATCAACATAACCATCATCATCGTCATCATCGTCGTCACCATCGTCGTCTTCATCATCATCATCATCGTCGTCGTCGTCGTCATCATCATCATCATCAGTATCATCATCATCATCATCATCACCATCATCATGCTCATCATCATCTTCATCAGCGTCATTAGCATCGTCATCTTCTTCTTCTTCTTCATCATCATTGTTATCATCATCGTCATCATCGTCATCATCGTCGTGGTCATCATCATCATCATCATCATCACCATCATCATCATCGACATCGTCATCATCATCGTCATCATCACCATCGTCATCATCGTCATCATCATCGTCGTCGTCATCATCATCGCCGTCATCATTGTCATCATCGTTATCATGGCCATCATCATCGTCATCCTCATGCTCATCCTCATCATCATCGTCATCATCATCGTCATCATCATGATCATCCTCATCATCGTCATCATCATCGTCATCCTCAAGCTCATCCTCATCATCGTCATCATCATCGTCATCACCATGCTCATCCTCATCATCGCCATCATCATCGTCATCTCCATCATCATCGTCGTCGTCATCATCATCATCATCATCATCGCCGCCGTCACTATCATCACCATCCTCCTCCTCCTCATCATCATCCTCATCATCTTTGCCATCTTCATCATCATCATCGTCGTCATCATCATCATCATCATCGTCGTCTTCATCATCATAACCATCATCATCGTTATCATCATCGTCATCATCTTCATCGTCGTCATCATCGTCCTCATCCTCCTCCTCTTCATCATCATCATCATCGTCACCATCATCATTATCATCATCTTCTTCTTCATCATCATCATCGTCGTCAACATCACTGTCATCATCACCGTCGTCATCGTCATCGTCTGCTTCTTCATCATCATCATCGTCATCAACATAATCAACATCGTCATTGTCATCATCATCGTCATCATCATGATCATCATCATCATCGTCATCAGCATCATCATCATCATCATCATCATCATCATTGTCATCATCATCATCACCATCGCCAGCATCATCATCATCATCATCATCACCATCATCATCACCATCGTCATCATCATCATCGTCGTCGTCATCATCATCGCCGTCATCATTGTCATCATCGTTATCATGGCCATCATCATCGTCATCCTCATGCTCATCCTCATCATCGTCATCATCATCGTCATCTTCATCATCGTCGTTGTCGTGGATAGGTCTGGAACCTGAATTCTAACTTGTATTAAATTTGAATTGAAGACCCTGGCAGCCAATATGACGTTCGAAGCTTCCCGCCTTGTATGTCCAAGATCCGAATTCTAGTTCGTATTGGCTGGCTTGTCCTATGGTTGACCAGCTGCAATTGAGATTCCAGTGGCCCGGAACACTTCGCTTTTCTTCTCTTCTGCGAAATTTTCCGCCTTAGGCGGGCAATTCCTCCTTGACGCTGAGAGGCTCTGTAGCCTCAAAATGATTGAAAGCCGCATAACTCAAGAACACAGGCGCGCCCCAGCACTCAGCGGAAATTGATTCCGGAGGCTGGAACACACGGTCCTTTTCAGGATCCTCGCCAATTACCCTGATCTCTCTCACCAACAAATGGGCAGCACTCTGCAAAGAGAGTTCGTCCCCGTAAGCACCTTCTGTCTCCATGTGGGAGACATATGCTTCCAAATCTTTTGGTGTCCATCCATGGCAAATAAAATCTTTCATGTGAAGGATGTATTGGCAAATTTCCCGTCTGAGATGCTCATGTTGAATCGGCAAGCCACAGCTGAAGGCCAGAGCCACATACAAGCAATTGCCATCTGCAACGGTGTCCAAGCGTTGCATCCCCAGGTCTCGCAGACGCCCGGCAACAGCATTTTGGCTCCTTCCTAGGGCCTCCTTGGCCTGTTGGGATTGCTCAAGAGATTGTTGACACGCTAGCTGGAGCTGCTGCTTTTCCCATTCGTCCTCAGCAACAGACAGGGGAACAGTCTATTACAAAGAACTTTCCATTACCAAGAATCACTTCGGAACACATCCAATTTTGACGATAAAGGGATGATGATGATGATGAGGATGATGATGATGATGGTGATGATGATGATGATGATGGGGCATAGGACGAAAGTTTAGGGATTCCAGTGGGCCAGATGTTGTGGAGAAACACAGTTTGCAAGACAAAACCTTGCAATAACTTTAAATCATCTTGGCCAAATATCTGACGCTTGAGCAAATGTCTTTTCCACTGAACCCCAGATCTTCTGCTTCTTGTTGTCGTTGGACCAATCCAAATAGTGTTGGCGACAAAAAATCCCACAAACCCTTTTCTTGCGACAGCGGTGTCCTTTTGTTGCAGGGGCCAAGCACATACCATCTTGATCCTTCAAGCCAGAGAAATGAAGAAAGGCCGGCTCATCAGCATTGCTGGGACGGCCAGGCAAGACATCACGTGGAAATACCAAAAGCTCCTTGCTTCCCTTCTTGCCACCAACAACTTCTCGAGGTTGCGGCGGTGCCAGCATTGTTTTGGTCCGGGCAGAACGCTTGGCCTTGGCTTTGGGTCTTTTCTTTCCTGGCTGGGAATTGACTGGCCCTTTCGGAAGCGGAGTCATCCATCCATTCTTGTCCAGCAGCCCAGAAATGAAGACAGTATGCTTGGTGAAGCCAGCCCCTGTAATGAAATCACGATGGCCATCCACCACCTGTCCATCTTGCAACACAAAGAGAGACACAAAGGTTTCTCGCAAGTGCTTGTGCCTGAAGATGTCATAAACACCCGTGTCCCCATGACACGCCGCATCCTCCACTTTCTCAACTTCAGAAGCTAAAGCCAACCTCATGGCTGCCCTCATGTCGCCAGATCGCTCCCAAGCATAACGCAAAACATATTTTGGCAGGACATAGCAAAGGTTGGCACGCCTGAGGTTTTCGACGAACTTGTCGCAAGTCTGCGCCATGAAAGTTTTTGTCGCTCCGTGCCTGCGGAAATGCTCCAGAAAGTCTTGGCGGTCCAGCCTCTTCACCTGCGAAAACTCGTCATAAGCACAAACATGCAGGCCGTGACTACCACCATACTACCACCTAAACCTCTCACCTGTGGAAAACCACACGAGGGGTAAGCGTCTATATAGAAGATGAAAAACAACAAAATACAAAGCGCCTTGGTATGATTGGCATCATCGTCTGGGTCAGTTGACAGAGCCACAGCAGACCGCTTCCTGGTTGACTGAATAAGAGCCTGCCATGGTTCTCGCACCTCTTTCTCCAAGTTGTCGTAGTAGCCAGACCGCAACCTACTTTCCAAAGCTTCAGCAATCTCAGACATGATTGAAGTCACAGGGCGCTTGTTATACGCAGGATCCAAAAGACCTTTTAGGACACGATGGGACACTTCGATTGCATTGGGAGCATAGGATGTGAACCCCAACGGCGTGCATCCTAGGCCACACCGCCATGGGGCATCCAATAAACCCCCGTTGGTCTCAACAAAGATGTGCTCGCGAAGGTACTTGGCCATATCAGGTTCATTCCAATAAACCGAATGCTCGCCAAACATCTCAATTTTCAGCTTTCCATCTTCAGTCCATGAGAAGCAGTGCTGGCGGGTGCACGGATTGCAGGCGTGACACCTACCAATGAGTGTCAACTTCCCACGATCGGAGGACTGAGTCAAAGGTTTATGCGCAAGATTGTGGCGGTGAAACCATTGCTGGCCTGCAGCGCGCAGTTTCGGGCCATCAGGCACGCTCTCCACGCCCACTAACTTCCAGTCTTTTCTACTCCTGCCTTTGGCAGGCTCAACTGAGACTATCTCAGCCATCTGCGGTCAGGTCTGAAATTTGAATGCAAGCCACCGAAACGCACATTTCAGGTCTGAAATTTGGATGAAAGCCACACAAACACAAGGCAACTAACATTTCAAATCTTGACGCACCCCTGAACTGGAAGGATTTAAATCCAAATGTCATTCAGGAAACATACCTGTTCCACTTAAACAGGTCTTAAATCTGAATTTAAGACTGTCTTCCTCAGAAAAAGAATGCAAACCAGCTAGAATTCAAATAAAAGCCCAGAAGGCCCAGTGGATCTGAATCAGCACACTGGAAGTCTTATATTTGAATTAAATTCCTTTGTGGATTTGGATTCCAGACTTATTCTCGTCGTCGTCATCATGATCATCATCATCATCATCGTCATCACCATCATCATCCTCAAGCTCATCCTCATCATCGTCATCCTCAAGCTCATCCTCAAGATCATCCTCAAGCTCATCCTCCTCATCATCATCATCATCTTCTTCATCATCATCATCATCCTCAAGCTCATCCTCATCATCGTCATCATCATCGTCATCATCATCGTCATCACCATGCTCATCCTCATCATCGTCATCATCATCGTCATGTCCATCATCATCATCGTCGTCGTCGTCGTCATCGTCGTCGTCGTCGTCGTCGTCATCGTCGTAGTCATCATCATCATCATCATCATCACCATCATCATCATCATTAAATGGGGACAACTATAAATTGCAATGTTCATTTGTTTAGATTTGTTTAGTATGATTGTGGGAGTAAAATGTTCTTTGCAATTCGCTGACTGATGCCACCCTTTGCTCAGGATGCTCTTGGCAAGTCCCTCCAACTGGTTGTCCAGGAATATTGGGTAAGTTACAGTGTCCCAAAACACGAATCATTACTCATCAATAGTTATCAAGAGTTGCATAGCTAAATGGGAGCTGATAGGACGCGCTGGAAGATGATATTCTGATTAAACATTATGGATGTCCATCAAGCAACACTCATTCCATACAGAGTCAAAACCATGTCCAGCTGTGATACCCGGCGCAGATACAAGTAGAATATGACCACGTCTATCCTTTGGTGCCGCTTGAAACAAAGCAACAAGACCACATCATTTAATTTGTGGGATATCTGAAAAATGGCAATTCAAACACATGGCTCGACCTTTTACCCCAAACCAAAAAATCACCATGTTTGTTCAAGGCTTCCCCAGCCATGTGCCCCTTAGCTAAGCAGCAAAGATCTGGTCGAAGTCAAGGCCTCTTTCTGCATACTTGGTAGCCTGGGAGTCACCGTTTCGGTGGACTTAATTGGTGAGCTAAAAGGACGGGGTCACCTATGTGAACCTCCCAAATTCTTGTGCTAGTCTGACTGTTCTCATGAAATAATATGAAATTTGAATGGACATATACCAGCTGGTTATTTAACATAGCCATGGAAAATGGTTTACCTATTAAACATGGTGATTTTCCATGGCTATGTTAAACCACCAGAGGGTAATCAATAACGGTTGAGCCAAAGTCTAAAGGTCTAAGGGTGGTTCCAGGCCCATTCTGAACCACGACTCGAAGGGAAACTGCCTGGCACAATGGGGGGCCAACACGATAAATAGTATGGGTATATCTGGGTACAGGAAAAAAACATGTCTGCCATTTCCAAACCTGTGAGAGCTGTCAGTATGTTTCAGCCATTATCAAATTTAGGCTGTCATCTCCAGAAAAAAAGTTGCAACACCATCTTCGAAACATTTTGAAACCACTATTGGACGTTCAGGGCACGTTTTTATTTGTTCAAATCTCTCCCAACCTTGCCATTTCTGGCAAAAAAAAACGATCATCCCTTGGCAGTTCCCCAGAACCGGCACCAGTCACGTCATTTCGTCCCTTCGTCCGCGTCGCGAAGAATTGCGTCGCGTCCCCGAAGTTGGAACCACCGGCGTCGAAGAACATACCTATAGAATCTCTGTCTTTTCTGGAAAAAGTGGCATGGAACCTCCAAGTATGATGGAAAAAAACATGAGAACAACAGGGCGCCAAAGGAAAACTTGAGATATCTTACCACTTGTGAAAAGATATCTTAAGATATCTTAAGAATCTTGAGATGATACAAAGTAAAATTTAGGGGACCAATACAGGAACAGAATATAGGTCCGTAGGGGCTTTCAATCTGGAATATTTGGGTCATGTCAACGCAGTTGCTTACCCAGTCACACACACTGCTGACACACATACACATACAAACACACAAACACACACACATAGCTCCCTACCTTGAGCCCAATGTATAACCTCAAAGAATTAAGGACAAAGTTTGGGCAAGGTCAAAAAATAGACAAAAATAGAGGTGCAAGGTTTTCCGAAAAAGTGGGGCACTGATTTTGCCACTTGAAATCAAATCTGTTCGAGCTCTGATCCCGATTGCTTTTGGCGATTAACCAGAGATTGGTCCCACCAACAAATAGACAGATTCCAACAACATGATTTCTAGATGTATTTGTTCCAGATCATACAATGTTGAAGAACCACCAAAACTTTCACTGATTCCAATGGGGTGCTCTGCTTGGCATATGACTCTCTCTGAACTTCCCATTTGGCTTTGTCATGCTTTGTCCACAAGAATCCGGCACCCCTAAAGTCGAATGGTTTTATCATCATTTTCCCTATGCTGATTAAAACATGGGATACTATCAGATAATTTTGGCGGCATGCCTGACATTTTTGCCCGAAACCAATTTTCTGGCACAGTAAGATCTGCCCCCACTAATTTTCAATCATCCTATGAATCATCCTATGTGGTGCATATTGTTTTGCGGCGCACGTCGCGTGTTTGGCGAGGTGGGAAAGCTCTGGTTGTCCGCCAGGACCAGCCTTTTACAAAGCACAAGGGATGGGGAATCACAAGCAGATATCAAGTTGATGCCGTGAATTTGCTGGAGGGAAATATTGGAGAAAACTCATTGGCTTCACCAAACCAATTCCTGGATGGTGGTTTCATCAACTCAAAAAAATGTTAGCTGGAATCATTCCAAGCGGGTAGGAAAAAAACAACTTTGAAAACCCTAAAACCCAGACATAGCAACAGTAGGAATCAGTATGGTATTGAATGAATTCAAACTGATCAATATGAAATACTCCAGCAGCCCGGCAGAGGAGGAATAGAGGGCCTATTTGGATTCGTTTTTCTTCATCCATAGGCATTGGCCCATTGGTTGTTACAGGGGGAGGTACCCGTCTATTCATCAACCGATCCTATTTTGGCTCTTATAAATTAAAAGATTGGTCCGTATCCATCCATATCCTAAAATTCTCCTTAAAAGTCCCGATGTTCAAGGTCTGCAAACAATTAGGATTGTAATCATCAATCAGCAGGGTGACTTGGCTTGTAATGACTCAAATGATGCAGCAGGATGTCCCAATCTACCCAAGGGCCATGTTGCCAACCCTAAGCAGATGGGAAACACGAAGGTAATTCGGATCACTTGTAGCCTATGGCCCTGGAATGGCCCCAGCCCATGATGGCATGATATTAGACGCCCGAAAAGAACATGATTTGGTAAGGGATTTACACATATTGGCACCCATTTAAGGCCTGTTTAATATTCGGGGAGAGGAGATTAAACACGTCGTTTGGGATGAACATTCCCCTTATGTATCCTTGTGTCCATTCCCCATTTCATACCACCCAAGTTTTGTGTTCAAACATAACCACCAGCCAACTTTGGAACCCCACAAACAACCAAAAGATCGGAACTGATTCTTTTCAAGCAGATCCAAAACAATCGCAAGGAATCCATTCACCAGCCCTAGTTTCTTAATATATCTCCGGGTAAACGTTTACATAGCGAACTGGAAAATCATCATGTTTAATGGGTTTTTATCAACTACAGTATTTCGACTGGGCCATTTCCAATAGCTACGTTAGTCATTACCAGAGGGTACATCTCCGGAGTGAAAGCGCCAAGTGACCAATCCACTGACATCAGGGTCTGCCTGGAATCGTCCAAGCAAAACATCCTTGGATCTCCTTGGATGCGGCTGATGCATCGGCAGATCCGGCTGAAGGAAATGGAACACGAAACCAATAGATATAACATGTTTATACACATTTTATGTCATTTGTCATTTATTCATTTCATCTCAGAGTCACAAATTGGGCCCCTGAAAAAGCTACTGTGAAAAGTTCACCCTAAACCCTTTTTCCCAAATATCCATGGATCTGTCTCTTTAAAAGGCGTAAAAATTACATGACAAACTACCAGAGAACCCACCACAACCCCCATCCACACATCGAAAAAAACCATCCGGTGGTTTACAACAAAATTTGAAGAGGCCTGTGAACACACCTGGTCTACCTCATCCCACCCATTAAAAAGGTGGTACCCCATAGTTAGTTAAGTTATTAACTCCAATGACTTAGGGTTTACGGTTTCTGTATCTTTATCCTAGAGATATTGAATTAGTTCATGGAAGGTTATAAACATTTAAAAATCAACAAACATCACTGGGGGGCAACCAACCCTTGGGACATTGCAGCAAAAACTCTGAGCACACCTGCCAGTGGCTCAATGATCTGTTCCTTCGCCATTTCGGGACAAATCTGCGAGAAGATGTCGGAACTGGGAGACGCTTCTGTCTCCTACGGATATGTGGTTTGTGCAACGCGATGCGAGCAGTTTCCCAGGTTTTTTGAGGGGGAATTTAATGGGCAATGATATTATTATACCAAAAATTGGAGATTGATCAGTTATGATTCATGTCAAAATTCAAATCCAAATTGGGGTCATCTGTTGTTCAATGGTTCTTCCAATATGAACAAAATTTCATTGTAAGTTCGTTCGAGGCTGGTACCAATTGCAATCTCTGGATGAATGCAAACATTGAACAAATTTGACATCGATGGTCAATCAAATGGAAAACACAAATTTATCATCATAATACGTCATAATCAAAAACATGATCATAATAACAATAATAATATATAATAATTATATAATAATTATCATCACCATCACCATCAT